GGGTGAGTGACACAAGCACTCAATACTCATGGTTGGTCAAAGTGGCTAAATCGTTGGATTTCTTTAATTACCGCAATCAGTTCTTTCAAAGTATAAATCATAAGCTTTGTGGTGTCAAAGGTGTGTCTATCATCTTATTCTTACTGTTTTGAGAATCACCAACGTTCACCGAGTTTCAAAAATGTTAACCAAACTTATGATAAATCTAACTGTACACTTCTTTTATATATTTTAAGGATCTAACTTGTGCTTGAATCGTTGTTTTAAACAAAGATTGCTCACTTGATGCTGCAACTATAAGTATTTTCTTTCTTATTCAAAAAAAAAAAACTATTAAGTATTTTCTTTGAATTGTTCACGTTAATCGTTCTTGTCGTTCTCTAAGTTGAGAAAACAATTGATTGGCTCTTGTATTTTTGTAAACTTTTTAAACCCTTTTTTGTAAATCTTAAACAGTAGCGACAAATCACGGGCCAATACTTTATGTGCATTTTCATTCCATGTATGAATATAAGAGATGCAAACAACTACACTAAAAAATAGATCTCGTTGTTCACTACTATCATATTGTTTATTCAACATTCTTTTCCGATTGAAGAAGCTATGCAAAAACTAAGTTGATGTTTTCTAACCCAATACATATTTAGCAAGCCCAATGTTATGTTATAAGCCCATGCATGTTAAGGTTTTTACCAAAATAGATTACTATATGAATGTGTAATGAACCTCTAAAAATATAACTTTGGGAGTTGTTTTTGGTGACAACCTGAAATTTCTCCCTTTTTTATTTTGTTTTTACATTTGAATAAAGCTCTTTGAACTATATCTCTTTATCTATCTTGTTTCTCTCTTATCAAAGCTCATTTGATCATTTATAATCTTGTTTTGGATATTAACTTTTTTTCTTTGTCAATTTTGGTAGACCTATGGTAGTAAAATTAGAAATTAAACGAGATTTGGTGAAGTTTTGTTTCGTTTCATCTTCTTTTCTATGTGAGTTTAACTCTTTCTATCTATTCACTTTATTAGATTTCAATCTTACAAAGGAAACATTAATTGGTATCGTTTGGCCAAATGCAGAAACTCATGCAAAAAAACAAAAAAGAGAGAACTTCAGGGCTGGGTTTGGGTTCTGTCGAATCATATATAACCACGTAATCATTTCTTTTGTCCTTAAGACCTTAACCATCTCAGTATAGTTTTCTCTTATTCGTCCCTTTACACACAGTCATTCGCCACGTCATCCTTTTGAAACCGCCAAAATACCAAAACCTTTACCTGAAGCAAAGTAAGCTTCTCCTTCTCTTGCCATTATTTATACACGCCTCTCTAGCTTTTGCATGTTATAAATTATCATTACCAAAAAACCAAAACCATTTCGATTCAAATATCACCAAAACAAATAAATGTCAAAAGAAGCTGAAATGTCCATCGCTGTATCGGCCTTGTTCCCTGGATTCAGATTCTGTCCGACGGACGTTGAACTCATCTCTTATTACCTCCGCCGTAAAATCGACGGCGACGAAAACTCCGTAGCCGTTATTGCTGAAGTCGAGATTTACAAGTTCGAGCCATGGGACTTGCCAGGTTTCTTAACATTTCTTTCTCTCTTTCTCTTTATATATATGAATCTAGGATTCCTGAGTACAATGAAACGGTTTCGGAATAGTTTTTTTTTTAAGGAAAATATGTTGTTACAAAAACTCTTATATCTAGTTACATAATATATTTCGTTACAACGTCAAACCATTCATTACGGTTTATGTAAACCGGTAAACAGAGGAATCGAAACTGAAAGCAGAGAACGAGTGGTTTTACTTCTGCGCAAGAGGAAGGAAATACCCGCACGGGTCACAGAGCCGGCGAGCCACACAGCTCGGATACTGGAAAGCCACTGGTAAAGAGCGAAGTGTGAAGTCAGGGAACCAAATTGTTGGAACCAAGAGAACTCTTGTCTTTCACATCGGTCGGGCTCCTCGTGGCGAGAGAACAGAGTGGATTATGCATGAATATTGCATCAATGGCGCACCACAAGTCAGA